GTGCATACACGATTAGATGCTAACGTATGATGTATACACACGATACAAACTGTTCACTTTTGTAACCTTAGTTAATCATGTACGACGTCCCCTCCCCCCATGAACGTCTGATAGTCTTTGACCGCCCGAGGACACACTACGTTTTGCTGTTCTCCAGTCAACTTGCCGCGACGCACAATGCGGTCTATTTTCATGCTGCCACCCGTGCCCAACATATGCACCACCCGCGTATCCCACCACCGCAAACACCTCATGTTCGGAGCGTCAAGCGCATCTGCTGTGATGAACGCCCCTCGTTCAATGTTAGCAGGTCAAGTTTTGGGGATATTAGGAGGCCTCTTCCCACCCCTTTCCTTCTTCGGAAATAGCTCTGCACTCAATCCTAGTCAGTAGGAGCGCACGGTACCAATAAAGTAGAATCCCATCATCAATAGCTCCATAGACAGCGCCACAGACGATAATAATTGTCCACGGCAACGAGTCGCACTGTTCCAACTAAAGGAGCTTCCGGCTCGAACACTTTGCGGAAGTTGTGACCCACGGCAGCTGGCCCGGTCATCTCGTTGGTTGAGCTTGTGACTCCTGCTCGCTCCATCTTACCACAGTAGACCTCGAAACTATTGCATACAGCATTGCGCTCATGTCAGATCGTTCCATACGCGAAAAGATAGCTTAGCAGCCAAAACAAAAGTGGGCGTGTTCAAAGGCACGCCCACTAGCTACCAGATGCAGAATGCCGACTTAGCGCAGCAGAGTATGAATTGTTTAAATCCCCATTTGTGGGGCTTGTCCTTCAATAAGACACGCATTTGGTTGAAAGTAGATCTCAACGGTAGCATTGCTTCATCGAAGGCCATGATGCCAGGGGCCATGTAGCCAGCAGCAAAAGGGATTACAGTGCTGTTATTACCGGCCGTGACTTCCAAGCACGATCCGTGGGGGCACGCTCGTCGCTTTTACTGCTAAGGTGAAGGTTACTCGACACATGCATGAAGCGATCGCGAGCCATGAAGTGACCAAAGCAACCGCGGGGAAATTCCCTTTCATCGGTCGTTTTTCAGTGGTTTGCCAGCTTTGCCTTGTTTGGGATTATTGATCGAGCGATCAAGAGGCCGATAAATACACACGGATCTCTACCGGTGATGGACGGCGCTTTCAGCACGTCTTCTCAGATCCATTCTTGCGAGCTGCCCTTGAACTCGGGATGTTTCCGCTCTCGCACCACGTGCTTTGCATGCTGTCCCTTCACGCGTTCGCCAAGCTTCTCTTCAGGTATTTATTTGACTCAACCGCAATTGATTCCTAAAGCTCGGGCTGTGCAAAACAAATGCTCCAGAATATGTTGAGGCAGCTCGTAAAACCTTAGCGGTTGGCTCCAGACTGACCGCTGTACAGATTCGGATAGTTCGCTTGCATCAAACCTACCGGTCGTGTTTAGTATGGCTCTATCAGGTGGTGGTACGGTGCGTGCGTCACTTGATTCGACCAGCCTGTTGCCGAAATTGTTTTCAAATAACCGTTTGACACTGTTCTGGCCGAGATGGTTGCCAAACCACCAACGGCCGATATGAAGTCATCATTAAACCTCCGCTCACGAGGGACAGAAAGATTCACGCCCACAGCGTCCAGGTCATCCTCAGACGTCTTGTCGTCTTCTCTGCCATCGATTTCGGCATCCGACTCAAGAGCTGCAAATTCAAGGGGGCTGCGCCAACTTGGTTTCCATTGATACACAAAAGACACATTAGTGGCAAGCATTATCGTGTATGTACATGATACAGCATTTCAGCACCTTCAACACGTGGTGCATCAGTCTCATTGACACGACTGCTCACCTGAATCTCAGAGTCATCACGTCGATCGTCGCTGGCTTCTCACAAGACGCAGTCATTTCCAGCTTCATCAAAGGCGGTGTCGAGATTGCGCCGTCCTACAAAATATACACGCTTAGAAGAACTGATAGCATGCACATAAACGTCAGGTATACTCACCAGTGATAGCTTCCTCGCTGTCAGAAGCTGTTTTTCAAGCGTCATGGAGTACATAGACACTGCCCAAGCTGCATCGCCATTTGGAACGGGCAACATTGCTGGAGTATCCTGTAGTGCTTTGGCGATCTGCGCTGGAGGGATACAAGCTATTCGAAAAAGAAAGACACGATTATTGTTAAGCGTAACGTGTATATACAAGGTGCCTCGCATATCTTCAGCTGGAGCTGGATTTCGTGTCGAATAGCTTTCTTTGTTGGCTTCCATAGCAGCTTAAAGTTCCGCTACGACATCAAAACGTGCCAATACGAAGTAAATAAGTAGGAGAGCAAAATTTAGTCCTACCTCGATCGATCTCGTCTACATAGAGCATCAGATCGTTTTCGTCAATGAAATAGTCGACACCGCGCTTGTCCTTCTTGGTCTTCCCTGGTTTCAGACACGCGAAGTCGACCGAGAGACCGGTTGGTCTCTTCGAGGTCCATCCTGCTTTCTTCATCTCGCACCAGCGAGCGCGGAATGCCATGTGCCATGTGTGCGCGATTCTTGTTCGGCAAATGAAACGGTTTGAGCAGCGTCAGGCATTCGCCTGTCATTATTTATATGAGATGTGATACGCGAGTCTATCCCCTCTAATTTCTAATACGGACGCCCTTTCTAGGCGACTCATCTATGCACTTCCAACGGGAAGCTTGGCAACATCACCTATCCCGCGCTGACTTGAATTTTGTAGGAGCTGTTACACAACACAATATAAAATTTCTTAACGTGTAAGGTCCGGCCGGGTGCTTCGAATCAAGGGGTTAAAGGATACAAAACTGTTATGACAGGGTATACGAAATCGCTGGATTATCACGTCCATTGGTTATCGCCGAATGGGCTCTGGATAAAGGCACGTGTTGGAGTGACCATCTGGATATTATGAAACGATACAGTTTTGACCACCTGCAACCACCCGATGACCATTTGTGCCAATCTGAGCCCATCCAGTGCCCACCAGCGACCATCTCATGGAAAGCCAGCTTTTGCAATCATGTGATGATGGACCACGGGTATAAGTATAACCGAAAGTGAATTGGTCGAGTAGTTCGACGTCACAATACAGAAGTGTCGCCAGTCTGTGGAGCGCTGACGGACGCGAGTTCTCGAGGCGTCAAGGGCTTCAGCTGTGCTGTACGCTGAAAATTTACGCTGCATTTCTCCCGTTGCTGCTGCCACTGCTACCGCTTCTACTCAATCGAGCTGGCGCTTGTGACTTTGGTTGCGCTGTATCTTTCATGTTGACACTCAGACGACAAGCACGCTTCAGCGCCATCGAAAGAAACTTCGTCAGGGCACAACCGTTCACGTGGATGGAATGTATTACATGCACATCTTAAGGTACCTATACCAAAGACACCGCAGCTTCTGGCTGTTCACAACGCCTGGTGAGGTCACACCAGAAAACATCTCGGAGGCCAGAAGCACGTAAATGCCACAGTTATTGCTGTCTGCCTGGATGCCGAAATCCGCGTCATAGAATCCAACGTGATAGCGTCCGGCTCGGTCTGGGAGGAGCGCTTTCCGTTGTTCCGCTTTCGCTCGTACTCCCACCTTGTACGTAGACTGCATAGGTTCGTAGCACTTCACTTCTCCCGTCGCAAGGTTAATCATAATGGCGCACCAATGACTGGAGTTGCAGCTGATTGGGATGAGTACACGCTCGGTGGAGGCGCCGAAAAACGAGCCTATTAGTGTGTTCACGTCCATGTGTCATGTATTCATCGACACCGTGATCGCATGCGGGCTCACGACGATGACGTCTAGACTTGGACCGGACAGCTTGTTGAGCACGGTGCTCATTGTCACATCGCTTAGTCGGTCCTTTGCTGCCAGATCAAGGACCTCCATCTGCAGTGCCTAGCAACATAGTTAGCTACCATCGCAGCCCAAATTAAAGATTGCGATGACTCACTTCACTCGAAAGCAGCCGGAGATCCCGAATCTTCATATGCATGGCTGCATCGCAGTCGATCGCAAAGTATAAGACGGAAGCCCATACGTGACCATCTCGATGGCCTGGTGACCACATGAACCATCTCAGATGGTCTCAGATGAACCATTATATTCCACACAATCTCATAGGGTTCGAAGAGAGACGTACCTATGCACGACACTTCATCGCGCGCGACTCTTGTCTCGGACGTTTCCCCCTTGCTGCGTGACTTAATTGTTCCAGCATGCGTGCAGATCAGCGTCTTGTTGTACTGCTTCCATTCTACAAGAATCAGCGCCGCGGTCGACTTCGTCTGCGTAATCTTTCGGTTGCGGTCCTCAACTTTGTTAAGGGTGCGGATGCGAAAGGTTTGGGGTGCACAGCACCAAGAGTAAGCTCACCACCGATCATATCTCGAGCTGCATTGACAGTACCTGAAAGGAGCGCGACGAATACTCCTCCATATACGCATGAAAGGCCTCCCACGAGTCGAACTGATTTTGTTCGAGAGGAGATGCCACTGTACTATCCGATGGCAGAGTATGGCTGTCCGACTGTGCGCCAGCAGCCTCCGAGCTTGTACGTGATCCCGCGGTCTCGAAATGACTCGACGTGTCTGACTTGCTTCCACGCGAAGCCTGGGAGGCAACGCACCAGCTCTCGCTGCCGTTATCAGAGTGCTCGCTCCCACTACCTTCACTTGCTCCAGCAGGCTGTCGCCGCTTTCGGGTTTCACGGCCGCGAAGCTCCATGATCGCCCCGAGCGAAACCACTTCTCTGCTAACCGTGTACCAGATCGAGGAATGAGTGGTATGTAGGATATGTTGTATACATTATACCTCGTACGGCTGAGCACGTGCTCAATGTCCGGTGAGGACGGAGGGGTTAGGTCTGTGCAGCGAGCCCTAGATGGTCTACTCTCCTGAATAAAATGCTGAGAACAAAATCAATGCTTGCTGTGGCAAAACCCTTTACTTAGGTAGCTGTTTTTCACAGTTGACGCACTCACATGTAAGTTCAGTTGCTCAAAAATATCGTTAGCGTCTCTTTAACAACACCACCGCCGTCGCTACAGTGAGACCCCCAAGCAGTACTGCCAGGAACGGCGAGTAGCTCGAGAACTGTTGTGGCAGACCTAGCCAATGTGCAAAAATGCCGTTAAAATCGTTCGAGAGCTCCGAGCTTCGCCGTTTCTTGGCCGTCTGCATGTTGTCAATATCTCGCTGGATCATCTTGGCTGCAATCGGGTGGTAGAGCGCCTTGCAGTCCTCGAAAATAGCGGCGCCCTGGACAACGCCTAGCGCCACACACAGGTCTCTGAAGAGCGGTCGGACAAACTTCATCCGTCCCTGCTCCTTGAGGAACTCAACAGTCCGGTCAAGGACTCGAAGGTCACAGGAGCGCAGAGACAGCGTGAACCAACGGAAACGCAGCTCCGAGTTATGTGTTGTGCTCAGATGACGGTGGGCGAACGCGTCAATAGCGTCCAGATGCGCAGCAGAGAGCTTGGTTTGACTTCCAGTCTGTAGCAGTAGCAACGTATCCAGAAGCAGAATCCACAGCGAGGCTGGCCATTTACGCAGCGCACTCGGCGTCATGGTCTTCGCCCACTTGTCGTTATCTGATGTAGCCATCATCTTGTCTCCAAGCGCTCGAACCTGACTGATCACTGACGTGTCGAACTTGTTCTCAATCAATGGCGAGCCCGTTGAGAAGAACCAGCCATCCCAGTCAATCTGACGGAGCCCGTCCGGGAAGGCGGCAAAGTGATTCTCAAAGAAGACACGGAAATCTCGAGACGTGAGAGTCTGGAACTTGAATTTCTGGATATAAGCTTGGGCGAACAAGTCGAACTCCTCAGCCCCCACAACTGTCGACAGATAGTGCAGAAAGTTGAATTCCTTTTCATACGGCACACGAGAGAACACGTCGTCTGGGTCCACGCCTTCCGTATCAGGGACGAGGGCGGTGTAAGGATGGGAAGCTCCGAACGACTGAATGGCTTCAACAAGGCCGCGCATGCCCAGAGCAGCCTTGAGATCGTATGTTTTAGGGTCATTGTGGATTTTGGCTACAATTTTGCGTTCAAGCCACACTGTCCAGCCTTCGTTGAGCCAGAAATCGCTCCACGTCGCGTTCGTCACCAGGTTCCCAGTCCACGAGTGGGCAATTTCATGTGCCACCACATCAGCGTACGAGCGATCGCCAGCAAGTAGCGTGGGGGTCACAAAGGTTAAACACGGGTTCTCCATCCCTCCATAAGGGAACGACGGGGGCAGACACACGAGGTCGTATCTCTTCCACACGTATTCCTGTCCTGTAATCTCCTCAGCTGCCTTTAAGAACGCCTCCGTCTGTGCGAACTCATGCGCTGCTCGAGTGACAACTCGCGGTTCAGCCCACACTTTCTTTCTCGGGCTTAACTCGACACTTTCCATGTGGCCAGCTGCAATTGCCAGCAAATATGAGGGAATGGGTACATTTTGTCGGAAACTCCACTTTTTGGTCGGTTGGTGATCATCATTCTTGATGTGGCCATGCGCAATTGCACTCATTAGTACTGTACACCAGTGAGGCACTGTAACAGTTGTAGAATATGTGAACTTGGCTGCCGGTGTGTCGGGACACGGCACTACACTGCGCGCGTGGTTAGCTTGGCACTGAGTGAACAGGAACGGGTGCTCTTTGCCTGCTGTCAAGAGCGGGGAGAGCCACTGCAGACCGCTGGACTACGCTGACGTGGTGTATGATACGCGGACGGTCGTGGACAAGCTGGCAATGGGTACACTTAGTGCACGGCCAAACACAGAGTGTTGGTCACTTAGAGTGAAGTTGTCGACCTTCACTCCGTCCACTGAAACACTGGCAATACTCAGAAATTGCGTGTCTAGAATCAGAGACCGGCGACTTGGCTGTGCCCGTGTAGGCGAACGTGTACTCGGCGAATCCCTCGAGCTGCTGACGCTCAAAGTCGATGGCTAGCGTCCATTGAAGGTGGCGGTACAGTACTTCGTCCAGGTTGGCGAACGACTGCGAGCGCAGCGAGGGGGAGGCCACAAGAGTAGCCATAATGACAGCCAAGGTGAAACAGGATTTGTGACTTTGATTGGCTCATCAAATGTCGCCTACACCAGATATCAGAATCAAAGTTGTGTAGCAAACACAAGGTGTAGCCATATGTCCCGAAAAGACGCACAAGTCGCAACAACTTCAATCGAACGATGATACCGCCGCAAAGCTCGCTAGTGAAGTACAACAACCCGATCCTTGTAAGCTCCAGCAAGGACAAAGCGCTCCTAAAGGGGAGAAAGCCTGGCACTACCAAGAACGGTAACCAGCCCCCGAATGGAGACTCGAATGGATCAGGGGCCCCGCCAGCTCCTAAGCCGACGGTTTTCACGGGTAGCAATACCCACAGTGGCACTCCGACCGAAGATATTCTGAATTCGATCCTGCCACCGAAAGAATGGACGGAAGACGGTCAGCTGTGGGTGCAATATGTGTCTAGTACGCCAGCAACGAGACTGGACGTGGTGAATCTACAAGAGCAGTTAGATTTAAGATTACAGCAGCGGCAGGCGAGGGAGACGGGCATTTGTCCCGTTCGTGAAGAGCTCTATGCGCAATGCTTTGGTGTGATGCATTGCAATTTGTTTGCTAGGCTTTTTAGCAGTTTTTAATAGCTCTTCATGTTACAATGTAGATGAGCTGATCCGACAGATTACAATCAACTGCTCCGAGCGTGGACTTTTGCTCTTTCGAGTGCGTGATGAGGCACGGATGACAATTGCAGCCTATCAGACACTGTACGAGTCCAGTATCGCGTTTGGGATGCGTAAAGCTCTCATGGCGGAGCAGAAGAAGATGGAGGCGGAGCAGCAGATCCGCACTCTTGAGGGAGAGCTGCGTGACTTAACGTCGCAGATCGAAGAGCTGAGTACGAGATGCGAGGCTGTGGCACGACGTGAAGAGGAGAAGAAGTTGCAGGATGAGAAGAAACATCAAGAAGAGGTGGAGCTGCTGCGTAAGAATAATGACCAATTGAAGGCAAGTCTTGAGAGCATGCTGGCAGCTCCCAAGTAGAAACGAGAGGTTTAGTTCTTCTTAATGCATTTAAGGTTTGTATTCGTTCTCTTTGTCTCAAAACTTCTCTATAATGGGCACTAGTTGGGCAATCTCTCCGACACTGGAACCTCAATAGGTAGGAGGCCATCTGGACGACACGAGCCGTGTAAGAGGGCGAGCATGTGTTGCTCAGCGCCGTCCGCCAGTGCTCCAAGGTGATAACCGCCCTCAAGAACTGACACAATTCTCCCCTCGCAACATTCCCAGGCCAAGGAGCACAGCTGCTGCGTGATCCAGTAAAAGTCGGCAGCTTCCAGTCGGAAATCCGCCAGTGGATCCCGTGACGAGCCATCGAAGCCCATGGATATGATCAGCAATTGCGGACAGAAGTTTAGTACTCGTGGAAGCACCGTTGCTGTGAATTGTTCGCGATATTTCTGAGCAGAGCAACGTGCTCGTAAGGGCACATTAAGGAGGTTCCCATGCGTGCCTTTGTCACAGGCAAACCCCGAGCTTGGGAAGCATGGAGCCGCCTGATGCATTGACACATAGAGTAGTCTTGGCTCTCTGTCCACAATATCTTGGGTTCCGTTGCCGTGGTGCACGTCGACGTCCACAATTGCCACACGAGTCAGACCATGTTTCTCAAGTGCGTGCAGCGCCGCCACTGCGACGTTGTTAAACACACAAAAACCCATGGCTCGACATCGTTCCGCATGGTGTCCAGGCGGACGTACAGCACAGAAGGCGTTGCGTATCTCATTATTCTGGTCCAAGACTTTATCCACAGCTAGACAAGCTCCACCAGCTGCAGCTGTCGCCGCTGCTAATGTATGTCTCATGAGAGTCATATCGTCCCCCAGTTCCATAAACTCATACTGTCGATAATATTCTTTCTTTCCCTGAACTGTTGGGATTCTACTCGCTCTCGGACTAGCCACATAGTCCTCTGCAATTCCATTGAACCGCCTCAACATGTCCAGCGCATTCATGCTGCGCACCACTTTATTGCTCATTCCGGCCACCATATCCATGTACACTTCTCCGTGAGCGCGTTGAAGCTGTTCATCTGTCGCTGAAGGAAGCGTCGTCTGCGTCGGTAGTCGTGGGAATCTCTCTCTAATACGCTTTAGCACAACTTGCACGCGTTCAGGTCGCTCTACGCGACCAGGAACGCGATGCAATAGACAAACGTCGCTGGAGAGCAGCAGGCTGCGCGAGCCGTGGATTGTTGCAGTGATAATGGAGTGCCAGACGCGACAGACGAGCAGCAGCGACAAACATTCGCGAGACGTCAGGAGACCAGAGAGCAGCAGCGCGCGCAGCATCACAAAGTGCTGGAGGAGATGATGGGCATCACTATTTCTAGCTGCGTGTTTGCTTTGATTGGCTGATAATGAAAAAAGTAAAAGTTTAGCAGAAAAGCAAGTATTAATAACTCGCAAAGCTACAAGCGGATATTTTACAAAGAGATGGGGCCGTACATCCGCGTGAAGAGAAGGAACCAGACCGTGTTCCTGGACGTGCAGCTGGCTGACTCGTTCCTCAGTGTGAAGGAGAAGCTGGGCTCGCTTTTTCACCTTCCGCCCACGAGTATCCAGCTGTGGCAAGGACTCAACCAGGTCGGTAAAGCTGAAGTATCCGGTGTTTTTCTCCGGATTTTTATTTAAATATTGCATTGCCTATTGCCGTATCACTCAGAAAGAGAGCAAGGAGTTTGCAGACGCTGCGACGCTGGCGGACCACGAGCTGCAGAATGACGCGGTGATCTACATGTGCTGGAAAAAAGAGAGTATGGGAAGCTCTATCAGCTTTTTTTTTTATTGTTCATGGCGATTTAACAAACATTATTTACTTAAATAATTTGGCAGATTCCGACCTGTGGGAAGACTTGAGTGTGACGAAGGTTGAAGCTGTCGATGCTGGAGATGCCTCGCCTGGTGGAGCTGCAGGAAGTGAAGCCAAGGCTGAGTGAAGGGAAGATTATTAAGTTCGGAGAATTCGCTTCATCAGCAGCAAAAAAAATTACAGGAGGAGCTCGCAGGCATTAACAGAATACCCGGACAGGAAGTAACTAATAGTGTTTATGAGTCGACTGAGTAGTGGATTTGGTTGAGATGTCGGGACGCTTTTGAGTGCTATTTGAGTTTGGTAACAGAAACAAGCTCCGTACATACTACGTAGTATTTGTACTACAGTAGTTCAATTTATTGAGATGGATTGTTGCGATAATGATGAAGTACACCAGCACGATTCACTTAGAGACACACAACACGAAAAAAGTCTAATTCTATTCCTTTCTATTCGATATACTACCTCCGCTCGGAAAAAGATAACCATTTGATTTTTTTTGCGCAGCGCTCCGCCTCGTTCATTTGAGCGTTTATTAATTTGTGAGAGGCTGGCTAGCTAGCTTTATGGCGAGAGCTGACAGTGAGAAACTAAGCAAGGCACAGGCGTTCATGCTCCGCCGTGCAACTACAGATACAAAAACGGATCTAAGACGGCAACTACATCGCCACATTCTGAAGGGGCGCTCAGTGGGGCTTCTGGAGCTTTAGCGGTAGGCGGTGGGGGGCCGCTGCAAGAAGCAGCATGTACGCGTTAGCATTGGCGAGTGAGATAGCGTCACAAGGCAGTGACTGAGGGAGAGTGCCAGCTCGTACTTGCTTGTCCTTGTGCCGGAGGCGCGCAAACTTGTACGTGGGTGTAAGTAGTGGACGGGTCTGTCTGAGCGCACGCCGTATGTAGCCTTCCTTGATCAGCTGCTGAACCAGGTAGCATCTTCGACGCGCGCTGAAGCAGACCCTGGTTTTCGCGCTCATTGACAGGAACTGCAGCGATTCTCTCGCACAGCTCGGCTCGATCCACCTTCTTCCTACCACATGCGCTCTTCCTTGACTTGACCACGGCTGCTACTCGATCTCCCATCGAATTGATTCCACGCCTCCAAATTCGCTCGACAACTTGGCGGCCCACACGGAAGTACGCTGCAACCCGAAAGATCTCTCCATGTTTGAGCACTCCTCCCACGCTGCGGAGCAGTAAGGTCTCCCAGAGGGCCTGGCGCTTACTGTCTGTGATCAGGTGCCAGCTTTCAAAATGAAAGCTGGGAGCGGGAGCCAGTCTGGTCGGGAAAGCGCGGGAGATTCGAAATCCAGAAAGTGATCGGCATAGAGGGGGTATGGTTTTTGGTAGGCTATAATATGTAGTACTAGTAGTAGTATAATTTATTTACTAGTATCTTTTTACTGTGTGTACGCGCTGTCACAATCTCACACGCCTTAAGTCCGTGCACCGGTACGACCTCAATTCACACTCGAAAATTTATTCATCCCTTGAGTTTGGCGATTGCTGCCGTTGTTTGAGACTTTGGCGATCCGTGATCCGAACTGGATAGCTCGCTTGGCCAGTCCAGCGCAACTTCTAAGTCCGAGAGATTTGGCTACCATACGCAATGCTCGTTTATCCCCCACACCGCGAGGCAGTTCAGCGTCACAGAGACTGGAGACTGGAAATGTTGCAATGGTCGACACCACGTCCTCATCAAGGTAAGGGAAGCGTGCTTCTCGTCCGTGCGCAGCAATACAACGGTCATCTCGTCCGAGATTGCGCTTCCAGATGCGCCCCAGATCCATTTCTAATTCCGTTCGCAGCGCTGCTTCTCCTCCATTGATCAAAGTTGTGCGGTGGCGTCCGTAGCCTGCGAGTTGTTCGTCTGCGCCAATACCCACGAGCACAACTCGTGCGTCAGTCTGATACTCGTTCACTGAAGTTGATTTGTCCTTAACTGAAGCAGTTGGAGCCGACTGTGAGGACGGAGGTACTGGATCCTGCTTGATGCGGTGCACTCGACAGCAGAGAGCTCGTGGCTCTTGCTCTCCCTCACGCTTTGACTTCAGTAACATCAACAGAAGATCAATATGAGCGTCGGATTGGAAGCCCATCGAAACCAGCTTAGCTCGACAACCCTGTGCCTCTCGCTCGCCAACGTACTCGTTAGTAGCACGGGGGGTTAATCTACCCACAACTCGTTGGATCTTGAAGCAACAACTCTTACATACGCCCAGCACACATCCGTTCTTCCGTTTGCGACCACATTTGTGTACAGGACACAAAATATCGTCGACTATCTGATCGAACAGTGCAAGAGCTGCAACTTCTGTCGCTAACTCGCGAAGATCCGCTCTTTGAGGATTCAAAAACGCATTCAACTCTTCAAGAGTCGCCTTATCTGAGTTTTGAGTACAGTTTTCCAACTCTCCCCGACCACGTGAAAGGAACCAAAAGGCTGCTCCGATGTTGAAATCCATATGAGTATCACAAGGAGCCATGAGCGTCAGCACCTCCTGCTGCACACTCGAAAGCTCTGCTCGTGTCACATTTATCTTGACGAAATTCCATTGGCGCTCGGGGAATAATCCACAGAGCTCAGCGTGCGCTAGCTCGGCCGCACGGCGATCAGGTGACGCGAATCTCGAATTCTCATCGAAGCAGACGGTCAGGAGGTCGACAGGTTCGTTCTTTGGAGCGTGGAAGTGGCTCAGAGCCGCAAGAACCACGGAGTCCAACCCTCCGGATAAGAGTACAGCCACTCGAGCTGGAGGAGATGCCGCATCCATTGAAGATCTCGACGGGATGGAGCGTACGCGAACGCCAACAGCATTGCTCAGCGCTACCATGAGCGCCCGTGCGGAAGCTTCCAACGTCAGTAAAGTCTCTTGATCAGTAATCGTTTCTAAGGCCATTGTAGGACATGGAAGCCTAATATTGAAACGATCCACTACGTTGTCCGATGTCTTCAATTTTACTTCTGCTTGCGTTGGAACGAGCGGAGAGTACGGATGAAATTCCATTCTGAACGAACGATTTCCTGTCACTTTCGACTGACGCGCTTGCAAGTCCAGCACGTAAATTCCAGATGCAGGCAACTCTTGGTACTTGTCGAGGCCTCCTTCGTTCTCTTCAATCGCTACATTGCTCAGCACAAAGCGTGCCAGCTCATTAGTTGCAAATTCTATCGACGTCATGTCCGTCCCCGCAAGACTCGCAATCATATCTCCATCACCTGGTCCCCAAATTCTGTAAAGCAGACTCCTGCGTCCAAAGCGATCGTGAGCAAAATACACGCGTTTCGCTGTCTCATGCAGCCAGGTCACGGCAAACGGCCCCTGAATACTCCGGAGCACGTCCACCACAGGATCAGCTGCCTCCATCGTGATTTTCGACAACTTTTCCCCTGCCATTTGCAGCTTCTCCGATAAGAGAATTGTATCACTGCGCTGCATCATTTTCATCTTCTTCTCCTCGCTATCTCCTTTTATCCCGAACACTTCTCCATTCCAACACAGGACGTTATCGCTGGAGTCTACAACCGGTTGATGAGTTGGTTTGTCCCCTCGCAAATGCAGTACCGCACTGTGCAGTGCAACTGCAAAGCCAATGGGGGCGCCCTCTGCATCGGATGCCGACGTAACGCGTCTAGTGACCTGATTGAAGTGGTCGGGGCCGCGTTGGCACAGTCTCCTCTGGAGCTCGAGGTCGAATTTTGACGAAGGACGTGTGTTACTTACATGAGAGGTATCGTCAGAATCGAGAGAGGCATATGAAGAGCTTGGTTTAGAGCTACAAGCTGGATAATCGTTGCATTCGGTGCAGGATGGAGAGAGAGCCGTGGCCACAAGCCCAATGCCACACATTCCCAGCAGACTTTTTTTGCTGTTGTCTTTTCGCGGTGCTGATTGGACGACGAAGTTTTGACCTCACAGTCAGTAACAAGCATTTAAAAAAAACTGCTAAGTTGAAGCACCCGAAAACTTTACATCAGTACTTTATTGCATGAATATATTTCATCTTGTCTGTTTTGCAAAGGGTCCTAGCTATTAATAACTACTACAAGTAGATTCTCTGGCCTACTAAAGTCAGTAGTATATAGCCAATACTGTTTGAGCTAAAAATAAGAAAAACAAAGAGATTAACGAATGTGCTTGCGGTCCGTTCCTGATTCTCTCATTTTCCGGGTCGACATGAATCTACAAGCCCTCATCGCGACATTTTTTGCAGCACTGGTTGCTTGTGCTACTGCGGCCGTCGATCATGACAAAGTGGAACCCTTTCCTCAACCCGAGCCTGTCACGATATCTGAAAAGGCCGCTATCAAGTTCAAGACGCAATTGGTCATTCCACAGGGCGTGTGTGTGTCGTATCCTGCTGTGAATGCTGCAGGTGAGGTCGGCGGTGGACTCAACGATTGGGATAATGGCAACGACGCCTGTCTGTCTGCCGCATTAGGGTCTCAGGTCTACGGTCGAGCGGGGTGGCACAAGGATCGATGGGCCATCATGTACGCTTGGTACTTCCCAAAAGATTTTTGGACGGGTTTCCCTACACACCGTCATGACTGGAAAAGTGTCGTTGTGTGGATCGACAATCCTGCTTTGGAGATACCCAAGATTGAAGGGGTCTCCATGTCCAAGTCCGACACGAAGTACAAAAAGAAGCTTAAACTAAAGGAATCTTATTTCAGTGGTGCCCCAACGAATGGCTCCAACACGTCTCTCCGATTCGAATATGAGGCTGGGTTTGGCTCTACATTTATGGGTTTTACCCGCTGGGATGGCGAGTACCAGAATTTGATCATGTGGGAACAACTCACGGACGCAGCGCGTGCCACTCTTAACGACGGCAACAACTTTGGGAAAGAAGCGAGTGTGCCGTTCAGTGATGAACACTTCGAGGACCGCCTCGACGAAGCATGGCCATTCTTACTCGGCGCTGCGAATGATTCAAGCTTTCTCTCAGTAGCTACATTGGAAGCATCTACCCGTTTTTGCGATGAAGATTTAGAATTTGTACCCGAACCTCGATAAAAAAGTGCCCTCTTGATTGGTTTAAAAGAAAATAATAAAAAAGTTCTAACACCAAATTTGAGTGAGGGGCAGTTTTCCATAAATAAATTAATGAAGACCGAACAAGCTGAAAAATTAATAAAGCAATAATTATGCACTATTCTCGTGCGTGCGTACATGGTCTTTACGATCTAACCGATTCGACAGAGTACACATCCCATAGTATGTTCTCTGGATTTAAGGAGGTGAGTAATTCTGACACAAAACTACTCTAACTTCTTATGCTCGGATCCCAAAGTAACGTTTTCAGCACAAAATGGCTGTTGAAAACACTATAATATCAAGCTACGATTAAAAAAACTGCGACTTGTTTATAAATTATCAACATTCACTAAGGGCTCTAATTGCTATGTAAGTATGACACCGCTATAGAGAATATCATATTGGTAGTAGCAGCAAAAAATGGAGCTGTTCCGCCGGCTCAAAGTTTTCTTTGTTTAATTGACATCCTCTCTTAATTAACTTAGAATACTTTTATATTTTTAAATGGATAAACCCCTTGATGTCGAGTTGAGTTAGTTCAAAATCAAATTTAATCGTAATAATTATGTTAAAACACTTCCTTGTATACAGTATAGCATAAGCATGTGTACGTTTCTCTTTCGTGCATATTTCTTCTCCTACCGATAGTGCTGTTCATTAGCTAGCCCATTCGATGTAGAGTGCATTTTCTCATTTTCCGTGTCGAGATGAGTCCACCAGCTCTCATCGCGACAATTTTTGCAGCACTGGTCGTCTGTACTACTGCGACCGTCGATCACGACAAAGTTGAACCCTTTCCTCAGCCCGAGCCTGTCAACGCATCTGAAAAAGCCGCTATCACGTTCAAGCCGCAGCTGTACGTTCGAGAAGGCTTGTGCGTGTCGTTTACTGCTGTGAATACTGCCGGTGAGGTCACCGGTGGACTGAAGGGCTCGAATGGAAATGACGCATGCAAGTACGCTCCAAAGGGATCTCAAGTCTACGGTCGAGCTGGGTGGTACAAAGATCTGTGGGCCATCATGTACGCTTGGTACTTCCCAAAAGATTTCGGGACGGGTTTCCCTACACACCGCCATGACTGGATAAGTGTCGTTGTGTGGATCAACAATCATGATTTGGATATGCCAAAGATTGAAGGGGTGGGGTCTCCATGTCCAAGTCTGACACAAAGTATTACAAGCAGATCAGACAAGTGGCATCCAATTTTGCTGGCTTCCAAGCGATGGGTCGGCGGTATCACCGCACTTATATCTATGACTCCAACACATCTCTCCGATTCCAGCTCAAGATAGGTCTGGGCTCTCCATTCATGGACTTTTCATACTGACCAGGATTTAATCATGTGGGAACAACTGACGGACGCAGCTCGAGTTGCTCTAAACGACGGCAACAATTTTAGCAAAGCGAAGGTGCCGTCCAGTGATGAACACTTCGAGGAGCGTCTCAACAAGGCGTGGCCATTCTAACTCCGCGCTGCAAATGATACAAGATTTCTACGTAATTTTCGTAGGAGAAAAGACTAAGAGGAGACTAACGTTGATCAGAAAATCATTAAGACGCTATTGCGACTGTTTCACTGAACATTCAAACGACTAGCCAGAATGACCAGAATACCCGGTGACCGAGGTCATCGTGCTCTCCGAGCATGTACTCATATCAGACGCAGCAGACATTCCGTACATCGGGGGTGAGGCGTTTTTCCTGAATACAAATTGCTCTCGAGCCGCCTCTTGTGTATCCATTTGTGTCGCCTCGACCACGCACTTGACGCAAAATGTGACCTTGCGCTGGGTTAGACTCAAATCTGGGGCAATAAAGCTCAGCTTCTTGGAAATCTTGCACGAGCTGCACACAGCTCCAAAGCAAAGCTTGCAAGTCGCAACTCCGCCACCCAGTTTCGACGCTTTGACTCCTTTCATACACGTCACACAGAACGGCTTGAAGGCTGGTGTACCTCTCTCACGAGCTTCTCCTTGCTTCTGCTCCAGTAACCACGTTAACTTCTTCATCTGACCACAGTAGGAGTACTTCAAGCCAGCCATTGTGGCTTGTACCATGCCCATGACAGCCATGGCCCGGATCATGTCACCACCAGGGTCCATGATACCAGTTCCGCGACAGTCCGTTCTATCCGGACCCTCTTGGTGGAAAATACCGCAGAACGACATGTTACCACGTACTCGGTTCGGTAACTCGTGGACTTCTTGAAAGTTTACAGAGTGGAACAAGTGGTAGCCCACACGCTCACCGTTTTGAAGATGAAGGATACCGGTACTCTCGACGTAGACATAGTCCCGATTGCGCACGAGCCCAATTGACGCAAGTGGGATGTCGATCTCCATCCACTTGACGATCACCGATCGGAACGGGTCGTCTACAGTGGGCTCAACTACCGTGGCGAGTACAGCCGCAGCGTTGAAGTCACTCAAATACGATGACTTGATCCTCATAGACTCGATCGTCGGGTTGACGATGCCAAACATGTTCTCGTCGAGTGTGCCAGGGAGTGGCCCGACCATCAGCAGCTGGGGGAGTTTAGTATTCGGAGTCGAAGACTTGCGCTCGAGATACGTCGTCGTAGGTCCCGACTTGGCGAATTTCTTCCAACGTTTGAGGCCCACCTGCTTGCCGATGTTGAGGTGCTCTTCGTACTCCTCGAACTTGGCCATGATGATCTCATCGGTGATCTCCACGAGCCTGGCGCGGTCTTCAGCGGTGAGCGTGAGCTCCCCGAAGGGGTTCAAAATGAAACGTTGATCGTTCATCGCGCAAGTCTTCAAGTGATTTGACCGAAAGAACTTGCGGCCTGACAACGGAAGAGGACAAATCTCGCTTGTGAGCCTGTACAGTATCCACCAGCTGATTTGATGACTTCCCGAGCTCTTATTACCGGTATTAATAGGAAAACTGTAAGCGGTGCGAATTGGTCCTCAGCTGTGAGGCTCCTCCATAGTCAAGGCCATTTTCTCGGAAATTGTGTTATTGTATTCGACAGGTTCTTATGCATCAGAGTCCAATCTTGCCACATGCCTTGCAACTTGCACTTGCAATGGGCAATCGTCAACACTCTATATCGATAGACTGCAACAGCTGGCTTGACATGTGAAGCACAAGTTCTTTGAATGGTGAATGAGTAAGATTTTGCTGGTACGCTCCTTGTCAACGGACATTCTACGTCAACATGGCCTGGTCAATGCTTGCCTGGAAACTGTGTGAACATCATTGTGAGCTTCTCAACATTGTATTCTGTTTTTGTGGAAAGTTGTGCATCTTGGGCCGGAAAATGGTCGTGACTAGGTGATGCTTTCGTGAGATCTCGTCGAGTTCGTAACGTCGGAGCCTGAGCTCGCATCGGACGCAACGGATGAGCCATATACACTTGGTTGGACGCGTCTCTTGTAGACGAACTGCTGGCGTGCAGCTTCCAGCGTGTCCATACGAGTGGCCTCAACGAGACACTTGACACAGAAGTTGACCTTGCGCTGGGCAAGCTCCAGGTCTGGAGTGATGAAACTCAGCTTCTTGGAGATCTTACACGTGCCGCAAAGAGCTCCAAAGCACAACTTGCAAGTGCTACTGGACTTGCCGATACTGAACTTTGAGTTCTTGATCGGGTTGAAGCAAGTCACGCACATTGGTTCAGCGACTGGAGCTCCACGCTCCTTTGCCTGAGTGTGTCGCTGCTCTAGCAGCCATGTCAACTTCTTCATTTGCCCGCAATACGAGTACTTTAAGCCAGCCATGGTTGCCTGTACCATGCCCATTACCGCCATCACACGGATCATGTCCCCTCCTGGGTCCATGATCCCTGTCCCGCGGCAGTCTGTTCGATCGGGGCCTTCCTGGTGGAAAATTCCACAGAACGACATGTTGCCACGTACTCGGTTTGGCAGTTCCTGAGCTTCTGGAAAGCTGACGGAGTGAAACAAGTGGTAGCCGACGCGTTCACCATTCTTGAGACGAAGGATGCCAGAGCTCTCAACGTAAACGTAGTCTCGGTTGCGTACGAGGCCTAAAGAGGCGCCGGGAATGTCAATCTCCATCCACTTAACCACTACAGATCGAAATGGTTCCTCCACGGACGGCTCCACGATATTGGCAAGCACAGCAGCGGCACTGAAGTCGTTTAGGTATGATGACTTGATTCGCATGGCTTCGAGAGTCGGGCTGACGAGACCAAACATATTCTCGTCTAGTGTACCGGGCAGCGGGCCAGACATGAGCAGAGCAGGCAACTTGGAGTTTGGATTCGTGTTCTTCCGCTCGAGATACGTCGTCGTTGTGCCCGAGTTCGAAAACTTTTTCCAGCGCGTGAGATCGACTTTCTTGCCAATGTTCAGGTGCTCTTTATACTCCTCGAACTTCGCAAACACCAGTTCATCAGCGATGGTGACCAGCTTAGCTCGTTCTTTTGCAGACAGTGTCAGCTCTCCGAAGGGGTTCATTGTGAAGCGCTTGTTATCCATTTTGACGACGATCTACAAGTCTGTAAATGACGTCTTGGGTCTCTTCTGAACAAAAGGTGGCAATAGTAGAGGCACAACAAAACTCTCTTTGACGAGACGCCAAGGACGCAACCAGCTGCAGAAATCAAACACATTTATAGTGTTGAAGTAGCCTCTAAACAGTTTGATTACGCTGACCTAGTCACTCCAAAATATTATAATCAGATTTAGGAGGTCCTGTTTAAGTCGGTATGACTGGCTTAAGCTATACCGACACTAATGGCTGGTGTACAGCTATTGGTGGCTTCCTAATACTAATAAAGTACTCACTTCGTCTTTTGACGCCTACAAGTAACGTCTTCTTCCTCTCCCTACTTCTTCTCGACCTGTCATACGAGTTATATATAGCAACCGAGGTTCCCGCCCCTCATTGCCATCACTTACCTAAAATCTGGGACATCATCCCAGAATCTAGGACAACGGCTCCACCCGCAGCAATATGGGAATCCCTGATATGGGCCGCCGAAAATAGCATGACCATAACAAAAACTGTCATAAATATCATATATAACGTAGAATACCGAGCCGATTACTGTACAGTGCTGGCACTCACTTATAAGAAGCGGTCCTAGTCACATCCCCAAGCCCTGAAAATTGGCCAATAAGTGCATCTGATAAGGAGAAATCAAAATTATGAGCCCTGGTACTAATACCGTAGATTTATGCTTCAAAACCAAAAGTGTTTTATCTACTATTAATGCTAAATGTATCTTTTTAACTATCTAGCATATCTAAACCTAATCAAATGCATAGCGTGTGGCTTTCAGCCAACGTACTGAGAGACCTTGTTAGCTCTCCGACTTATGTACTAAACGTGTGTTAGCTCTCCGGGCACTCCGTACCCCTGTGTGTTCCATACCATGTAACCCCGTTACACTCTCCCCCACTAAGATGAGAACACCCATGTTCTCGAAACCTTCTCAGTGAGGACACGTCTTGTCAAGACGGCGGAGGTTACTACACCTCACACCAGCGTTGTACAGCTCCGCGAGCTTACAATCGCCTACGCATCGCTATTGCCCACTTCTCGTCGTCGGCCCACAGCCCAATGCTCCAAGCGCACCGCGCATCTTGTTCTCAAGCGGTCCCAGACCTATGCTCGCGCTCCGCGCCTACTCCAAGAGCTGCAAATCGCTTAGAGCTAGGTTCTTGACTTGTCCGAGTCGTCAACAACAGCTCAGCGGTTAAACACTAGCTTCACAAGCGATAGGTCGGTGGTTCGATCCCACCAGGGCGTCGCCCGATTGTTCCATGAACGATTGTCCACGCTTGGACAAGCTTAAGGGCAACTCCCTTTTAGCTCAATGGTTGAGCGCTGACTTTGGGAGCCACAGGCCGGGAGTTCGAACCCACTAGGACACAGTCATCTCGTTCCATGAACTATTGCTCACGCTTGGACAAGCATAAGAGCAACATCCTTTTAGCTCAATGATTGAGCGCTGGCTTTTTTAGCCACACGCCGGTAGTTCGAACCCACCAGGACACACTCATCTCGTTCCATGAACTATTGTTCATGCTTGGACAAGCATAAGGGCAACATCCTTTTAGCTCAATGATTGAGCGCTGGCGTTTTGAGCCACATGTCGGTGGTTCGATTCCACCCGAGCACAGCCCACTCGTTCCGTGAACGGCTGTTATAGAATGGACAAGCTTAAGGACAACGCTCTTTTAGCTCAGTGGTCGAGCGTTGGCTTTGGAAGATACAGATCGGTGGCTCGATTCCACCCGGCGCAGCTCTCTCATACTATAAGTAGTCCGTACTCGGACAAGCTTATGGACATTGCCCTTATAACGCAATGTAGATCTCCGGCCTGGAAAGTCAAAAACCAGTGGCTCGATCCCCGTCCGGGACACACCACTTTCGCTGTTAAAACGCATCCAAATTTGGATTATGCTCATCGAGCAAGCTATTTCAAAACAACTATGCGTCTATCGGGACGCTTGTACCTGAACCTTGTTCAGCACAGCACGATGCACCTTCTTCCTTCGAGACCACGTCCCCAACACAATACGAGGTCTCCCCACCTCCTGCTCCCGCTGCGAGCACCGCTTATACGTACGAGCTGACTGCTGCAGCCACGGGTCAGAGCCTGAGCTCCACTACTGACCTGTTCCCTCCCCACTCTAGTGGAAGGCGCCCAGCGCCTGGCGATGTTGTCGCACGCCATGGTGGCGCTTTGGCACAGGATGTGCCCGGTCGTAAGCGTCCACGACGTCAGGGCAATCTTGCCGGAGGATACCATAAAACTCTCATGAGCTCTGTAAGTGAGGGTAACCTCTCCACTTCACAAAGTACTGGGTACGACCCTGGCGTATACGCCGCGGCACAAGGCGTTCCACGTGATAGTAGAGCTCTGCATGCTCATTGAGCAGAGCGGGAGGAGGCTTTGCCTAAGCTGGGCTCTCGCGAAGAGAGTCAGCACTTGCCGGAACGGCGTCTGCGTCGATACGACGCCGGCGTCCACGACGCGAACGTTCACATTCACCGCCCATCGGTCAATCTCGAAGAGATGATCCACCTTGTGGATAGGTTAGAGTCACTGCTGTTGACTCTCGGACCTTGAGCGTCCAGTCGCTCGGCTGAACGTTCAGTTTGCCTTGCTCGAGCACTTCGCTCCGCGACCCGTGACTCTGCCACTTGCCGTTGTGCTGATCAGCCTGCTGTGGGCCCACAGCTTGCTGTCGTCCAGACTCCCGTGGTCCTATCACCTGCTGTCCTGCAGATGTTCGTGGCCCAGCCACCGTTGCCGCCAACGCTCACCTCAGCAGGGCTTGATATGGCTTAAGCATACAAACATAGAACATCGTAAGCGTAAGCATCTTCTTCGGGAGATTGAGCGCATACGCTAAGCCCTTCCTGACCACGACCTTGAATGGTCCCCTGAACCGAGGTCTCAACTTCGTCTTGAAGACTGCAGACACTGCATGAGTTGGTAGATTTTTCGCGCTTACTAAGACTTGGTCACCGACGGTAAACCTCTCAACATTGCTTCTGGTCTTAGCATCTGCATATTCCTTATGCGTTTCTTGGCTTTCAGCCATAGCGTCGAGTACTTGACGCATTACGCTCTATCACAAAGAGACAAAGCCATCGACTTGCTTGTGAACCGTAACAGGGATGACATCCGCTAGCCGCTTGGCTATCCCTTCCCCATCAATCCCTGGGCCACTGCGTGGCGGCGTCAGTGGGACGCGAGGGCTCACCAAGCAGTTCACATAGCACGGCGTGTAGCCTATTGAGGCGTGCACTGCATTGTTTAATGCGAGCTCACGAGTGGGAGCATCTGGCTCCAGCGTTTTGGCGTCTCAGCGCATACAAATACGCTTCGGAGGATATACTCCACAACGCGATTCATGCGTTCGGTTTCACCGTCAGTCTGCGAATCCGCTGTGGACATATCCAAACGAGTGCCGAGCACTCTGAAGAGGGACGTCCTGAACTTCGCGGTGAAGCGCGGGTCTCGATCCGAGACAATTGCATCAGGCAAGCCATGTTGGCGAAAGACTCGGTCTAAAAACAGCAAAAATGTACCCTCCACATCAATGGTGTCGACACAACTGCTAAATGAGCCACCTTTCTCAATCGGTCTACAAAGACCACAATACATGTGTTTCCCTTCTTATCCTTGGGAAGGCCAAGCACAACCCATGGACTGCCAACATCCCTTGGGGACAGGCAAACTCGCCAACGGCGCTGCCGTGTTTGGCGCGGACTTTGTCAGCTGACACGTCTCACACGTGCGTACATAGGTGCCGACCCACTTATACATCTTGGTCCACCTGTACATCGGGCTTTCCGAGCCATAGGTCCTCTCCCAGCCTACGTGTCCGCGCACCGGCGTATCATGGGCCTCATTGAAGACTCGATACTTCAGTTCTTCATCATGAGGAACAACTGTACGAGGGTTACCCTCAGAGTCAGTGCAGTAGTACAGCAGGCCGCCATCGAGCGCGTATCGATGCAGCCTCACGCGTAAGCGTCCAGGCAATTCCTTGTCAGAGTCTTTAAGCTCTTCGCTCCGAAAAGCTCGTAGCAGCGCTACACTCATGTCGTCCTGTGCATACACTCCACGTATCAAGTCAGGCACTGACGAAGTCACTGTCGTGATATGGCCAAAATCGTTGTCCGGCCTGCGCGAGAGCGCATCGGCCACTACATTAAGCCGCTGCGGCTTGTACTTCACCTCGAAGCTGTACTCAGCAAAGAAGGAAAGCCATTTTGCCATTCTCTGAGAGAGATGAGGCGGCTGTGTCGCAGTGCGTAGCGATGCATGATCAGTATCGATCACAAAAGGCTTAGAGCCTAGCAGGTGTACCCTGAATTTGACTAGAACATACTTTATTGCAAGTAGCTCTTTGTCATGAACTGGATAGATCTTCTCTGCAGCTTTGAGCTGGCGATACTCAAACGCAATCACGCGCTCACGCTCTTCGGCGTCTGCTTGCAGTAAAGCACAACCGATCACAAAATCGGAGGCGTCACAAACGACGCTAAACGGACGATACGGGTCCGGTAGCGCAAGGGTCGGAGCCTAGAGGTGGCTCTCCTTCACAGCCTCACGGGCTCCGTTGTGATCAACGTTCCAGCCCTATGGTGCGTCCTCCTTAATGAGTTTTGACAGTGGCCGATCCATCTCCGCGTAGCTCGCGCTGTACTTGTGCAAGTAATTGACTAAGCCTAACCACTTGCGTAGGTCTTTTTGGCTGTTGGAAACCGGCCAGTCCACGATGGGCTTGACTTTAGCAGAATCTACCCGTAGATACGCTTCCTGATGAAGCACCCGTGGAAAGGTCTCTCCTCCGCGTCAAATACGCACTTGTCCAAGTTGGCATGCAACTTATTAGTGTACATGCACTCGAGCACCGCTCGCAAGATGTCAATGGGATTCTCCACGTCTGACGTTATGTGTTCAGCACGACTATGGACGGGTATATCGTCAATCTACGCCTGGGCGCACGCCCGACGGGGCCCAAACAGCTGCGTCACAAGAGAATTGAACGTTGCTGGTGCGTTCGATAGCCTCCGGGGCATGACCAGCCACTCCTAGAGCATACCGCCAGGAGTACGCAACGCTGTCAGCGGAATGTCGCTCCCTCTCATGAGAAATCGGTAGTAATCATTGATCAAGTCGAGTGCACTGTACGACGTACAGCCTACCATGCTGCTCTGTAGAACATCCTTGCTAAGAATCGGCGTTTGCGCCGGGATGGTGACCGTATTTAACTTGGTGAAAGCTTGAACAATACGCCACTTACTGTTCGGCTTTCTGACACAGAACGTGATGTCGATTGCGGAGACTTACTCTCACGCACCATCCCTGCCTCGTGCTTCGCACGGAAGAATGCGTCAATGACGTCACACTGCTCTCTCGGCAAAGGGTCATTGCCTTGTCACGCGGTATTTGGTTCCAGGAACCAGGTCAATCGCATGACACACGCCTCGATCCGGAGGCAGGCCCATCGGTGGGTCTTTCGAGACAACGTCTCCATACTCCTTCATCACAGGATAGAAGGGATCCGAAGGATCTTTTAGGATCGCCGATCCACTGCTTGCGCTCAGCGCCATCTTGGTGTCCGCTAGGACCGCGTCATCCACGACGGATGAGGAGTTCAACTCCTCCTCAGGTCCCAGCAGGAACACCTCGGCTAGCTCACCTGCCTTCAAGGCTTCGCCAAACTCGGCAATGGACATATCGTCAAGCTCTAGAAGAGCATCTGCAGCGGGCAGAGTGTCAAGGCTGATGTCGCCTTCGACCTCCCCGTTACTCCGTTCACGGGTTTGTACAGCTGTTCACAGCAATCACGTGGGAGCCCCACCGCTCGTCACGTTGGACACCTCGTCCGACGCTGAAGACGTCCCAGACACCCTGCGTCTTCTTCTCCTCGAACGAGCCCGGGCCGGATGAGGGCGGTGTGGCGACATCGCCGTCACCACCACCGGGGTGCAGCAGCACCATCACTCCTCGAAGAGGATACAGTGTCTTGCAAGAAACTCGGCTGAAAGCCAAGAGGTCCTTGACCTTCACACAGTGAACTAGGTGTCACTCCACCTGCATCTCCTGGGCCGCGTCCAAGACGCCTCGACTCGCCGACCGCCACCCTCGGCCCCCGTAGCGGTAGGCCATCGACCAGATCCGTACAACTCAGTGGATTACGCGCCACTCCGCTCTCGTAATCACAAGGACCCAGCAGCTGCACCGCTCAGCAGATAGCGTGCCGCACCACGTACGACCTCAGAGCAAACAGCAACCTCGTTGCTTGCAATTTCTGACATACCAATGTCCAGCACTACGGCCGCCTCGACCTCGTGCTTGCGCCAAAAGCGCTTCTGCTTCCTAGCAGCGGTGGGTTCATGACTCGCCAAATCCCCACTAGGAGCAGGGTGCATGTGATGTACGGAGACGCCAAGGTGCAAGGGACTCGACGGCGTCACTTCCGAACTCTCAACAAGTATTGGATACGGTCCATATGTCACTGAATCCAGGCTGTCCTTATTATTAATAATGGGCTGGCCGGATTCGCATTCAGCGGACAATCTTCGGTACGAACCCTCGGTGGCGGTTATGATGAGTTCGCGGAAGACTCAGCGACCCTTTGGAAGCACGTTCAC